AGCGTATTTTCGCGAAGAAAATACCAAAGAGAAATCGCGCGCTACGCTACGCCATGCGTCGCGATACGATGGTCTTCTACGGCGAAATAACCATCTGCATTCATATTCATATAGAAGATTCTATTAGCGCAGTTCCATTCCCTAGACAAAGTGACATCGAGAATTTCTAATGGCGAATTTCTAATTTCCGATTCAGACTGGCCACTGCGATTCCGTTCAATTCCATTGAGTTAATCGTCAATTAGATTTAAACCATGATGATAGAAACGGATCTAAGTATGCATGGCTAACGTCAAACGTTAAAATCTAAAAGAAATTTAACCGGCCTTTATTGATTTATAGATCGCCTTTGAAAGCTTACCAATGTATTTCGATACTCGCGCAAAACTCGGAACGTACAATTCGAGCTCCACGCTCGAACTCAATTGCATGTCGATAAATTAAAAGTGTGGGCGACATTGTGCTATTTAAATAATTACGATTTAGCACAAATAGGCGACGATAAAAGTCCCAGTTGACGCTGACGGCGATAAAAGTGAAAATTACATATGATGAAAAAAGTGGCAGAAATGTAGGGGAAAAAATTAAAATTCAGTCGGAATTTTATTAGCCAACGACTTTGCAGCGCGTTATCTCTGCGAAGCGTGACTCTTGACACCAACGTGAAAATTTAAAAGCGAATAATATACGGAGACCGACCTACAAATGCAAAATATATAACGTAACGGAGACCGTAACTATCGTCGATTATCCCAGGTTCGTTCGCAGCGAGCAGCGTGAGCGTAATTTCTATAAGACTACACTTCGTTCTCAATTACTCGGATATTAATAGAGTAGTGTTTCCATGCCGTGACAGCTAATAAAACTTTGAAACCACTTGAACCAAACGTTTACTAGCGGCGTCCCGGTGCCTGACAGGCAGCCGAATGTTCGTGTCTCCCGCCACGTGACGGATGTTATAGCAAGTATTAGCACGCCTTAAATTCAGTATAACTCCGGCACAGCCCCGAGCGATTTGAAGCGACGCGGTCCTTAAAAATCTGATAAAAATCCCGACCCAACGGAGATTCCAGCCTGTCATAATTTTTCACGATAAGCGTCGAGTCATTCGGGGAGAGGGATGCGCGTCGGAGATTTAAAATTAAATTCTAAATTTTTTTTCGCAAAATATTCAATAACGAGTGCAAGACAGTTTTATGAACTTTTTGTGCCACTGAACAATTTTTTAAGCCACGCGTAATAAAAGCAACCCGCGAGTAAATGCGCGAGATTGTATTTGCGTTCACACCACTAACGAGTAGAACGAAATCGTACGAATCGGACTCCTCTCGATTGTTTTTCACGAAATTGCGAAACGTTCACGATTCGCAGATTTAATCATCGCGTCTTTCTCTTTCATAGCATCGGTTTCACCCTGATAAAACGGAAAAGTTACTTTATTACGGACGCCGGCTACTTAAGCTAGGCGTCCCTTACTCGTGAAAAATTCACCATCGCGAACGACTTTCGACGCAATAAGCTGGTGTACGGAAATTCCTTGATTAATGAAAATCGATAATTACCTGCTGTGTAATTAACAACGATCGTACATCCCCGATAACCGAGCGTGTTTGCACTGTGTGAGAACGATAAATTCTGTGAAACGGGGAGACCTTTCCGCGTTGCACCGCCATGCAGGAATATAGTTCAATGATAATGCGAAATAAAATCGAAAAATTCATACAATGAGCCGAATTCATCGTCTCATCTACTATTCTCTCGTAATAAAGCTGTCGCTTTGTTATTAACGGATCTCTGGCATTATATCCGACGGGTAATCCGATCGAGCAACGCGCTCGCAACGAATTATTCTTAGAACTTCGATTGACATGACTAGTCAAAAATAAGAAGTCAAAAGTCTGGGTAATTCTGGAGGTTAACGAAGGAATGAAGTATTTACAGCATGTCTCGAAAAAAGCGCACACTTCCTATTAGAAATTGTAAAATGAGACTTTTTTTAATGACACGTCGATATCCGTGGGGAGAAAGATATTAATAAGAATCACGAATCACGTGTTTTAATAGCAAGTCCCTTTTATAAGCAGATTAAAATTACTCGGGTATCTTCGAGTCCATATTTATGAGACAAGTTTTATACACGTCCACAGTTTTTGTATATGTGTGAATGCGGTTTCAAAATTGTAAGTAAAGACTTATATAAAGTGGGATTAATGAAACTTGCCCAAAATAAATAGAAAAGTCTCAATTGGCATAACTCCGCGAATTAGTCGATCGTTTCCAAAATGCTCAGTTTTTTTTTATTTTGCAACTTCTTTTGTACGATCAAATAACCTGTGACTGATATCTCAGAGTTTCGAGTATTCGCAACATATGCATAATATATACACGGAAAAAAATTAATATCGATTCAACTTATATATTTTAATCAACGTGTATAATTATTGTTTCATATTATAAGTACAAGCAGCTTTTAATAATTTAATTTATTTATATGAACTATTTTTTCTAAGAGTAAGATATGTTCAAATAAAGATAATTTAATTTCGATTTAAAGAAATTGTATTTTTGATTTGAAGATATTATCCTTTTCTATTCAATATTTCTTCTCTTGATTCATGAAAATTATTTTTACAAATAACGAGAATATAATCTTTTTAATAAAACTATATAGAATTTCTTCATATAATCAAGCTTTATCTATTTAACACGTTGACTGCCAACTACGAGATATCTCGTAGGTTGTTTATTTGCCCAGGACGCCAACTACGAGTTATCTCGTCACTTCATTACTTGATTAAATCAAATTGGCTTCTTAGACCAGAATCGTGAAAAGTTCCGTGGCAGACAACGTGTTAAAACGTGTTAACACACGCTGTGCGCACGCGCGCGTAATCTTACTTCAATATTCTACATAAATCTTCTCAATTCAATTTCCACATTTCTGTATATCTCTATTGAGAATAAGGATTTTCTCAAAACAAAGATATATTTTTTTCCGTCTACATATCTGCAATCGATACTGCCTTCTTTCCGCACAATAAAACGTTTCGCAAAATAATTTCGATTAATTCCCATAAATACAAAGATCGAGAAGAAACTCTTGTCGTTGTTTCTTTCCTTTAATCGCAATTTATGGTCGATAGAAATCGAAAAACGCTTTACGACATTGCCAATTCAGGCTGAGCTTCCTCAATCGCCATAGATTAATCCCCCCCTCCCCCTCCACAAAAAGCAGCTAACATGCTCTATCGCGACCTAATCTTATTTCGTCAATAAATCCTAAAGAAAAAGAACGGCTGTACATATACCGGACGTGCGGCGGTCTCAGCTTCACAACGGTCTCCGTCTGAAGTCGATACGCCGTCTGGAAGCGGAGATATTGACGATAGCGTTGAACCGCCCCTCAAATAAGCTCGCGATGGCACTTGTCGCGTCTTCCTTCCCGAAAGTGGGAGCAGGTCCGCATTCCAACGCTGTAATACGTCAACATTGTATTCTCTTGGAACGCGGCCTTTCTCCCACTCTTACGCGCTGTACACTGATCGCTCAAGGACGCGGCCATTCACCCCGTACACGTTCGCACGTAGGTACACAGCGTCAACTAGCGCCAGCTGGCGGCGGCGTCACCTATTTACATACGTTCGCGGGTACACTGAGCGCGCGAAAATTTGAAAGGCCGTAACTCGTGGACGAACCGAAGACACGTGGAGAACCAATTATCCGAGCGCGCCGCCGTTTCATTGCTGATTCCGGAAACAACCGTGGCCAAACGTCCTGACAGATTTTGAGTGACTTTCAGCGAACTCTGATCAAGCTAATCGGTGAATAATAATAAGAATCGTCAGCATCAATTCCCAGTTATGTAACTTGTCGTTTAGCAATAATCGAAAAGTTAATCATTTCTATCTGTGTAAAACAGAGCAGGTTATATTTGATTGACGGCAATTTCAAATCGTCGATTAAATTCACCGGAATTTGATGGACGTCACTCTTAAGTTGGAATTTCGAATTCGATGTGTTAATGATAATTTTCAATGTAATTAGCTGCGGTCGAAATGCGACAAGGGGACCTCACAAGCTTCGCTCACGGCGAATCACAGATGATGAGAGGGATTGACTGTTGAATCGATATCGCGAGAATGTATTTATCAATGTTCATAAACATTGACTCGTATTCTGAACTCTCTTTTATCGAAGAAGACGTCTTTAAAATTGGCTTAGGAACTACCTGATTGGCTGAGAAGCCACGTTTAAGATACTTTCGTCGATAAAAGGTAATTCAGAATACGAACCATTGTCAATATTCACGATATATGATTCATCATGCTCGGGCACAAATCGATAAACAAAAATAGAGAAAATGGAGATAGTGGAAAATAAGGAAGGATGAAAGGGACGTGATAGAGACTCAAATGTGCCGGAAGAGCAAGGCGTATTTCAGCGTGACAAGCTTTTGCGTGACAAACGGGAATGTTTTCCATTGCGTCATTCTTACTGTTCGTTACTGAGTTATTCACTGTACGGCGTAACAATACTAAATTAATTGAAGCCGACGATAAACGACGGATACGGTGTTATCTGCGCCGCAGCGCGTTTATCTGCACTCATAGGATACTTATAAGAAACATTAAGATAAGACGATAATGTATGGTACATTTACGGTGAATTTCGAATTAATTAATTCTTAAAAGATTAAATGATAAACTTGCAATTTAATGAATTTCTCAGTATATGTCTGCAATCATGTATTATAGGAAAGAAAACGATTCGATTCAATAAAAACTTACGAAAGTATTCGCGTGCAAGTTACTCACATTCCTCCGGGACGAGAAAAATTTCCATTGTATTTGATTGATATGCGCGAAATTCACGCCTCATTTCGTAAACCGAAGGAGACGGTTTACCGTTTGATTCAGTCTGCGCGTCAAGCAACCGAAATGGCTGAAATAAAGTACGTGTGAAAAATGTAAAAGCACGGACGTTGCACCACAACGCTACGATGAAAAGTATAATTGCACTTTATTATAATTCGTTTCAAGGTCCCTTTAGTTGCTGCATTTTCGTCACCTAATCTTAAAATGCGAACGCTATTACGAATAATTATTTGTCAGAATAATATATACCAACGTATCGTCATAAAAATCTGGAAAGTTTATACATGAAAATCTAATTGTTTATATTAACTTTAATCATCCTGAGCTTTCATACTCGCAATCCTTCCTTGACAAAATGTTCTTCTTAGCTTAAGTAATATAGTAATAACATGCTAATATGGATATATTCTTATTTATATATATATATATATATATATATGTATATCTCTCTCTCTCTCTTCTATATATAAAGAACCTTATTTCATACGTATAACAGGGGCTGTTAATCTGAAGCTGCAAAGGGACTCGATAACACCTAATTCATTTTCTTTTTTTTACAATATAAATGCATATTATTTCTCCTAATACATATATCATTATATATCATCCGGACTCTTATAAAAACGCAGTTACTTAATATCTAACAAGCAGAACCAATAGCAGCGCTTACGTAGCTTTTTACAGCTCAAACATAGCAAATATCTATCTTTTTTTTTCAGAGTCACTTTGCAGCTATAGTACAATACTTTATTTCCAAAGCATGATAGATCTAGATAACAAAAAATATATAGTATTTTACAGTAGCATTACATTACATTATCATAATGTTAAATAATCTGTTATCTGCACACAATATGCATGCATACAGGTCTGTCCACGGCAACCCGAAAAGTAGATCACTCTTCTCGTAGTACAGATAAACATTTCTTGAGCAATTCTGCGTGCGACTGTGAACATAACATAAATACACCCGTGATATATTGCAATATTGCGTACAATTCGAAGGATAAGAAAAATATACTCACTTTAGCATGTTTTATCTCCAGTTCGGTTAGTTCAATGAGATTCTTCTTAAACGCTGCCACTCGTCTGGTCTTGAAATCCAACAATTCTAAACAAATCAGCTAATGTTATTAATAATGCCCTAAATTCTGAACATTCAACGTCATTCTCTCTAACATAGGTAACAGCAATTATATATTTTTAAAATACAAATTATAGTATTTATTATTTTCTTTCATTCTATTCTTCACCTCTACTTTGATCACAGAATGACATTGCCTGTACAACCTCCAAAAGTTAATGACGTATATATCTATTTTTACTTACCTTCCTTTCCCTTATCAGACATTTGCTCGAATTTCTCACATGCCTCGGTTTGTGCTTGTTCCGCCTTGATTAATAAAAATATATTTGAAATATTAATTATATATATATATTTTATTTCTATCTAAAACTTCAAAAATGCAATTATGCAATATATATTTCAACATATCCATCAGCAAGATTTATAGCAGCGTTCCTACAGTAAAAACATTATAGCCATGTCATGAATTGTTGTATAAATCATCATAACAATATATTCAAGAGTGCATGCGACTGTCACATTCATGCATACAATATTGATAATAATTTTTCTGTTAAACAATTGATTTAAACCAATTTTTTCGTTTAACTCGAAATATCTTATATATGCATATCAACTATATACATTTATATATAAAACACACATCTATTGGAAATACATTTTTTTTCAGGTATAAAATAAAAATCTCGTTAATTTTAAGTAATAAACTTATGCATACACAAACACACACATGTCAATATCATAAGATTCTTAAGATGGTTCTTCCAATCTACGCAATACTGACTAAATCTTAATTTTATGATGTAATTTTGATAGCTTATGTACTTAAAAAAGGCGAACAATAAAACGAGTACTCCTTAAGCATTACAACAAAAAAAATATATGCATGACAAAAACAACATATGACACACCTCAGCAACCTCCAGTGCCTTGTAAAGCAAGAAAAGTTAAAGTTCTGATTAGAGGTTACACAAAAGACTACAAATTGATTATAATAACTGCAATACCACTTTTAGTCGTGTTATAGTGTGATATCATTTTTCAGAGGATAAATGTTACACATTTTATTTTTCTTTATTTTTATGAGCTATTTTGTAATATGACTATTTAGCTGAGGATATTAGTACACTGCCTGAACTTGTAACTATATAATAACGCTTAATATCGCTAGATTTAATAAGATTAATATTGCTAGTGTTAAAAAATGCATATACTTACTGCATGGACATCCTTATTTTTGGCACGAGCTTTTTCAAGGGCACGGTTCGCAGATTCATATGCATGTAGAGCTTTTAATCTTCTAAAAAGAAGCCTTTTAGCTGCGGCTGTATCCCTCATATAATAACGAAGAGTATCTGATAATTTCAAATCTTCATCTGATGCAACACGTCCTTCTACTTTCTAGATAAAAAGAAAAGAAAAAGAAATTGTAAATAGAAGTAATATTTTGTTCAATGTTGCTAACTTAATTCACTTAATAAAATATCTCTCTCTTTCTCTCTATGTCTGTGTGTGTGTGTGTATGTGTGTGTGCGCGCGCGTGCACGTGCGTAAAAACAGTTTTAAAAAGTATTCTCACCCTCAACTTTTCGAAGGTCTCAGCAATTTTAGTTAAAAATCTTTCGAGTTTTCCAGTATCTGTTGTAGCTAACTGCAAGAGGTTAGTGGAAATCTTTATGTATGAATCCGCTACATCTTTATGCTTAGCGGTTTGACGATCAGCACGAGTCGTTGCTTCCTTTAAATTATGATGATAAGTTTGAAGGAATGTCATCTCTTGATCAAAGAAGTCATTTACATCCTTCACTGTAGCTGACAGATAATATTCGTCGGTAGTTTTAGAAAATGACTTCACTAAACCACCAAACATTTCCATTTTATTCTTTCCTGCAATAAAAAACCAGATATGTATTCAACAATTATCTTAATTTTTATATTTCACAAGTACAATATTTTGCATAACGTATAATAAAAAGATTACCTCGTACACAAAGATCTTGATCATACTCCAAGAATACCCTTAGGTTATGATCATTCCGAAAAACTGGATGATGTGCCAACCTAGTCAAAAACATTTCGTGCATAGCAACAGTTTTCTTGAAAGTAGCTAGATATTCCCTGTAAAATAATGAAAACATATTTAGATTCTACTATATCTTTATAATTAAAAAGGTACAAAATTACAATTTATGAAAAAGAACATAGAAGGGACTCACGCTTCTAATTCTTGCTTCATCTTGTTAAATTCTTCGCGTGTCATATTTCCTTCACCTTCCCCTAGCTTTTGTAATTTCTCACGCGATGCATCAAAATCTGGTCTTGGTGGACATGGTGGAATCTATTATAATATCATCGTTTATGTGTAAAAAGTTAAGTCTCTACATTAAATATATAAGAGGAATATAAGAACTTTTAACAAGATTTCACATACGATGTAACCAGCATATTCCTCATTTTCCTCGAATCTATCATGGAGCCAGACAAACTCTTCATGTTGTCTCACAACTAGATTGTCGGGTTTATGAAATTCAGGTAGAGAAGTTTTTGTATGTACAGTAAATTTCACTTTATCCTTCTCGCTAAGGGCGTCCGAAATATCCACCTGCAGCGACTTATCCGAGAGATCTATGGTGTCCGCGTGGATTGTCTACAAAAAATAGATTCGTCGCAATATGACAAGGGTGTATGCTGCACGATTATTATAGGATACTGCGTTATCAATCGGAAGACAAGACTGTGGCACGAGGACTTGCAATGAGGAAAAAAAAGGATACCATAAATACCTTTTTGGTAGGAACGCTGTTTAAAATGTCGGTAGTGTCACATATTCCGTCCTGCAACATTTTAGCGCCAATTAGAGAGCATAAAATATATTTAATAAGGAGCGAACCGCGGCACTTGGCACCGATCGAATGCGTCGAGAGAACAGACCGCCGGCTAACGAATGATAACAGGTTCCACCTACCATCATGGCGTCCACTAGCGTCTCCTTTATACACCGTGTTTGACAGCAACTCGATTGTCAGGACACTATTCCGAATAACGCAAGCGATCGTGTGACGAACGCACTGTTGTCCAGAGGGCCCGACTTATGCGATAAGCCACTGTCACCAGTTTCAACGCCATCTACGAAAGCGAAAGGACGATGGCATATTTAATGACGATATCTCGACTTATCCTCCTTTTCATACGTGAATTGACGTTTCATGTTGCAAACGTCATTTTTCCCGTTTAATAATTCAGACAATTATTTAAAAGGCAAATAGTTGCTCGCCTTGTCGTTGAGTCATGCTATTCGAATATACAAAATGACGTCTGGACAGCAATCATGCAATTTTCCTTAGGGCGGAAAGTGACATTTTTAAGGTTGCGTTCGGGAATACACACCGAAGGTAGGGTAGCATTTAATCGACCAATCACGTGGTCTGTTCCTTACAGATAAGATGGCTGCACTAGTGTAAGAAATTTACACATGCATTGAAGCATACGAAGCGTACGTACAAGATTCTCACTCTTCGGCATGAGTAATTTTCCTGAACTAGTGCAGCCAGTTCAGCTATGAAGAACAGACCAATAAAGAAACGTTACTTCTTAGTCCCAATCGGCCAACTAAACACCAGTCTACAACCTCAATGTGGTGTTCCCGAACGCAGTTTTAACAATTCGAGGATCCGATTGGCATGTACCTTCAGACGTTGCTAGACCCAGAGGCACGACCAATTAGATCCAAGGGTCGCTAATCGCTCCCTAAACCGTGGCTCGTTCCTTACCTACCAACATAAAACCACTCTATGAGCGACATCCGTTCCCAGTACTCGTATTCCGACTCGATCAGCTGATGACGTAACATACGACGAGCGTTCTCGCGAGAGGTATCTTGTGTACTCGTGTCGGTTTTCCCGTGGGTACGAGGGCGTCGAGGTGCGCGGTGTGGAGGTGTAACCCGCTGTGACCCGTCTTATCACCGGTGCTCCGTCCGTAGACTCGCTCGGCCGTGCGTTAAAACCGGCTCACGTTATCACGCGCTCGCGTCGCTCGGCCGTTCGTTCACTCGCTTATTCATTCATTCATTCATTCGGCAACACACCACCGGGCCCGTTGTCACGCTGGTGAAACGTGTGCGTACGCGCCGCGACGAGCAGCGCACCGGACTGCTGACTTGATTCCCGGCAGGGACGTCGAGCGGAACAGCGACGAAGGTGGTGGAGATAGACAAAGAGGGACGGACCGTGTCAGGATGAGCGTGGACGCGTACGGACCCAGCAGCCAGACCCTGACGTTCCTCGACACCGAGGAGGCGGATCTGATCGGCGCCGACACGCAGGGCAGCGAGTTTGACTTCACGGACTTCACTTTACCGTCGCCGAGCCAGACTCAGGCCTCGCAGCACGATGCGACACAAACGCAGTCGAGTCAGCCTGTACAGGTTGGTGTGCGGATCTCGGCACTAGTGTATGCTCGTCCAAAGACGGCGACAGTCGTGCGGGATATACCGTGGAGAGGCTCCCGGTGTTCCTTCTCTCAGCCACGTAGTCGCTCAAACCTAACCTCGCACCGTGCTACTTTCGCTAATGATGCTCGATGTACGAATACGCGACGATAACGCGGCCCACTGGATACCTTATCGCCTTTCTATAACGGTCCTGATGGAACGTCGCGTCTTTCCTCCGATATGTGTCGAACCTCCGACGAGCGAGTGTGATAGTCACCGACGTGACCTTGATAGCTCGCTGGAGGATCGCCGAGTTCCGTCGCACGTCTCCCTTGAACTAGCGTGAGCGAGGTTAAGTGCATATGCGCCATTCTTGTCAAATTATTCTCCTGCTTTTAGAGCGATAAAGAGTTTCTAGTTTTCAATGCGGAAAGCGAATTGATATTATAGTGGATGTTTATATTTAAGGTTGAGCCAAGTTAAAATATTCACTTGTGTGTATATGTGTGTGAGCTATGTGTGTATTCTGCTTGATTAGTTTTTCTGTTTTTTTAACTTTTCAGTTCTTTTTCAGTTCTTATGGCTTGAGTGAGTAGAATTTTATCTGTTCTTAGATCAAAATAATTCTGTATTTGTTACGTTCTATTTATAATTTTGTATTTCTCTGCTATGTTATTGTAATATTGTTTTTGTATATTGCATCAGCTTAGGATATTTTTTATTGTTACCCAGGTAAATGGTACAAGTGGCAGTTCATCATTGGATTTGAAAATTACTGGAGCTGCTCAGAGTCTTGCAGAATTACAATTTGAAGAAGAAGAAGAAGAGGCTTACTATAATCGAGATTTACCTGAGCATGCCTGTAAATATTGTGGTATCCATGAAGCTTCTTGCGTGGTCATGTGCAATGTCTGCCGTAAGTGGTTTTGCAACGGACGCGGTAATACTTCGGGATCGCATATTATTAATCATCTTGTGCGTGCTAAGCACAAGGAAGTCACCTTGCACAGGTAATATTCTTGCCTGACATTTATTCTTGCCTGAAATTTAATGTTATTATATTTATACAATATGTTTCGAAACTTATTTTCATTAATTTTAAATTAAATCATAGATCATATTACAGATTAGATATATATGTAGATAAAATTTTTCTTATATTTGAAATTATATATATAAGTAGGGCGCTCTTATGTGACAAGTAAATATTCAAAAATATTGATAAAAAAGATTTTATCAATCAAAATTATACACATAAAATCTGGGAATTGTTGTACCTTTTAGATACATTTATCTTTTTCTATGGGAGTACCTCAAGGATGTTTCAAGGTCATTAGATTTTTCCTAATAGAACTACGTATTTTTGAATATCTACAATTGTAATGTATATTCAAAGACTACAGTCACTCTAAATTATTCAAATAAATATATTCAAAGGATATAAACCTTAAAACACTAACTTTGCCTGATGAAAGTTGTTTGTCGTCAATATTTTTGGAGATTTACCTGTCATGTTTTACGTGCTTTACGTTATATATGCGCACATATATATGTAACTAGTTTGAAAATTCATAATATTAATTATTACAGGGACGGTCCTCTTGGAGAAACTGTCTTGGAATGTTACAACTGCGCTACGAGAAATGTTTTTGTACTGGGTTTTATTCCTGCTAAAGCTGATTCTGTGGTCGTACTGCTTTGTCGACAGCCATGTGCAGCACAGAGTTCCTTGAAAGATATGAATTGGTGAGAGCAAACTATCTTCATACACACACGTTGTATATTCGAAAAATAAAATATTATTTTATGCGAAGAATTCTATACAAGAATTTATAGGAAGCATTAAATATAATACCTGTATGCACATAGATATCAACATACATCGCGTGATATATACACATATTGACTAATTACTCTTAATAATATTCAGGGATCAGGAGCAATGGAAACCTCTGATTGAAGATCGCAGTTTTTTATCTTGGCTTGTGAAGATCCCGTCTGAACAAGAACAGTTGAGAGCCAGACAGATCTCTGCGCAGCAGATTAACAAGTTAGAGGAGTTGTGGCGGGACAATGTTGACGCGACTTTCCAAGATCTGGAGAAACCCGGAGTGGACGAGGAGCCGCAGCAGGTCTTGCTGCGCTACGAGGACGGATATCAGTATCAGAATATTTTCGGTCCGCTCGTGAAATTAGAGGCCGATTATGACAAGCGGCTGAAAGAATCTCAGACCCAAGAGAACATCGAAGTACGATGGGACGTCGGACTGAACAAAAAGACTATCGCGTACTTTATGCTGGCTAAAACTGACGGCGACATGAAATTGATGCACGGTGACGAACTGAGACTTCGTTATCTCGGGGAGCTTCATAAGCCTTGGTCCGGAATCGGTCATGTGATTAAAATCCCCGACAATTACGGCGAAGAGGTTGGGATCGAGCTTAAAAACAATTCTGGAGCGCCGACGGAGTGCAACAGTAACTTTGTTGTTGACTTCATTTGGAAGAGCACAAGCTTCGATCGGTAAGAATGCACAATCGTACAAAACCACTGTCCATCCATATCGCTTTCTATCTGCAATTATCGCGATAAGAGTGTCTTTATTCTTTTTTTTTTTTTTTTTTTTTTTTTTTNGAATGCAATCAGCGTTGCGCAAGTTCGCCGTGGATGACTCATCCGTGTCGGCTTACATATATCATCGGCTGTTGGGCCACGAGGTGGAGGAAGTTCTGTTCCGCTGCCACCTGCCTAAGCACTTCAGCGCCCCGAATCTGCCGGATTTGAACCGATCTCAGGTGTACGCGGTGAAGCACGCGGTGCAGCGGCCCTTGTCTCTGATCCAAGGGCCGCCCGGCACCGGCAAGACCGTTACGAGCGCCACCATCGTTTACCAGTTGGTGAAGCAGAACGGCGGCCCGGTTTTGGTATGCGCGCCCTCCAACACCGCCGTCGACCAGCTGACGGAGAAGATTCACAAGTCGAATCTGAAGGTCGTGCGATTGTGCGCGAAGTCGCGCGAGGCCATTGACTCGCCGGTGAGCTTCCTCGCGCTGCACAATCAGATCAAGAACATGGAGACGAACACCGAGCTGCAGAAGTTGCAGCAGCTGAAGGACGAAACGGGTGAGTTGTCGAGCGTCGACGAGAAGCGCTACAGGCTCTTGAAGAAAGCGGCGGAGAAAGAGTTGCTCGAGGCTGCTGACGTGATCTGCTGCACGTGCGTCGGCGCCGGAGACCCGAGATTGCACAGACTCAAGTTCCACTCGATACTCATCGACGAGAGCATGCAGGCCACCGAGCCGGAGTGCATGGTGCCGGTGGTCCTGGGAGCCAAGCAGCTGATCCTCGTCGGAGATCACTGTCAGCTGGGCCCAGTGGTGATGTGCAAGAAGGCCGCCAGGGCGGGCCTGTCGCAGTCGCTATTCGAGAGACTGGTGGTGCTCGGCATTAGGCCGTTTCGGCTGGAGGTGCAGTACCGCATGCACCCCGATCTTTCGCGGTTCCCGTCCAACTTCTTCTACGAGGGCTCCCTGCAGAACGGCGTCTGCGCCGACGAGAGGAAGCTACTGAAGATCGACTTCCCGTGGCCCGTGCAGGACAAGCCGATGTTCTTCTACGTTACACAAGGCCAAGAAGAGATAGCGGGCAGCGGGACGTCCTATTTGAATCGCACCGAAGCCTCCAACGTGGAGAAAATCACCACGCGATTCCTGCGTTGCGGCGTGAAGCCCGAGCAGATCGGCGTGATCACTCCGTACGAGGGCCAGCGGGCCTTCCTGGTGCAGCACATGCAGTACCAGGGCTCCCTGCATTCGAAGCTCTACCAGGAGATCGAGGTGGCGAGCGTGGACGCCTTTCAAGGGCGCGAGAAGGACATCATCATCATGTCCTGCGTACGATCCAACGAGCATCAGGGTATCGGGTTCCTGAACGACCCCAGGCGGCTCAACGTGGCGCTGACTCGCGCGAAATACGGGATCATCATCGTCGGTAATCCCAAGGTGCTGTCGAAGCAAGCGCTCTGGAACCATCTGCTGAACTTCTACAAGGAGCAGAAGGTGCTGGTCGAGGGCCCGTTGAACAATCTGAAGGAGTCCATGATCCAGTTCGCCAAGCCGAAGAAGCTCGTGAACGCGGCCAATCCGGGCTCCCACTTCATGTCCACTTCCATGTACGACGCGCGCGAGGCTCTGATCCCCGGCTCCGTGTACGACCGCTCGGGCAGCGGGCAAGTGAATGGCGCGCAGAACCACAATCCGTATTACCAGAGGAACGTGCCGCTGGACATCTTCAGCAGGACCCACGACACCATCAGCTACATCAGCCCGGAGAGGGCGCAGGCGGCGATGAACAACGTGCCCGTGCCGGTGGGCATGTTCATGAACATGGCGCACGTGCCGCCGCGCTTCTACAATCAGCACCAGCAGGCGGTGCAGGCGCGGCAGAACCAGCGTAATCGTCGTGGCGCCGCCGGCACGGCGAGGAACAAATCGGGCCCGCGCATGGGCAAGCTCAGCCAGACCGAGCAGAACACGCAGCCGTACAGCCAACCGGGTCTGCCGCTCACTCAGGGCACGACGCAGGGTATGTCGCAGCCGGGCTTCAGCCTGTCGCAACCCGGTCTCAGCCAGGCGGAGCTGTCGCAGGACTCCTTCGCCGTGGGCGAATTCCAGTCGCAGATGGACGGCCTGCTGTCGCAGGACTCGACTTACCAGGGCGACCGCAGCGGCTTCTACCAGTCCGGGCAGTCGCAGGCCGGGGGACAGTTCTCCCAGCCTTATTGAGCCGAGACTGTACGGCTGAGCAACGCAATTGCCATGCAGCGTCGCGGGAGCGACTGAGGGCTCGTTCGACCAATTCTTCTTCGACCAACAACCACAAATCACTAACTGCGCGAAACGGTAAAACGGCTCGGCGATCGAGTACGGTATATGCAATAATATTGCAGTCGTCGGCGTGAGAGATCAAAGGGGAACGAAAGAGGAGAGAACGAAGGATTCCGTAATAAGGACCAATTCGCCGTTCGGGGACACTCCGGCGTGAACGGCGCGGATGGCAAGGTTCTTCGCCCATCTGTACTGGCTGTAACGGGTGCGACTAACGAGGACTGGACGGAGACATCACACACCACTCAAAACTCGTACGAGCGCGGACACACATACACGAGAGAAAACAGAAAAAGAAACACACACGTACATGAAACACACGGGGGAGGCGGGAAGACGACAAACGACTACCACCGACCACCACCACAACCACCACCACCAATCACTGTGACCACGCGCTTACCGTGAACGGACCGTTTTATCGCGGGGATCGAGTGACGCTAATAGAGTTAAGGAGAACCCGAAAAAAAAAAGAAAAGAAAAGATAAAAACAATATAAAAATACAGCATCGAAAAATCAAGGGGAAAAAGGCAATATGAGAAGCGTAACGCGCGCTTCACGACTCGACCGAATTCGACAAAGTGTGCCAACGTAGCAGCATCAGTAATAACGACGTAATACATATCGGACGTATCTACGGCACGAGGGACACTCGTGGAGGGTCTTTACTCGGCGGTCTACGGAAGATCGGGCCACGACAGCGTCGGCTGGCTTCTCCCACTTCGCCACCGGCGTCAACAGACAGGGAAGAGAACGGGAAGAGAAGCAAGCAAGGGAAAACAGGCTGCACACGTGACATTTGACTGTCCGGGGCGAACAAGCACTCGACACGTGTGATTCCTCTCTCTCTCTCTCTCTCTCACTCTCTCTCTCTCTCTCTCCTAATCCGGATCTAGAATCGAGAGCCAAAAATCCAGGTCCACCATCCGTCACCGTTACCTACTACGAACTTGCCGTTTGAATGCGTGGGCGCACGTCGCACGGAGGGTCGACATCAACGTTCTCCGACGGGACATTGTCGAAGAAAGCCAACCGTCGTCAGACAGTATGAGGCCAACACTTCAGCACCATCGCGGAGGATGGACATCCTTCGTCGGAGGGCCGGCCGGCCGGCGCGCTCGGCCAGCCGCGTGGAAAATTCATTTATATTGATCATGTTTATTATCGTTAGGTTTCTCTTACGTTATATACATATCCATTGCCTATTTACCGCAGGGGTCGGCAGGGCGTACGACTGAAGAAGAAAAGGAAAATTGTTTTCTCCCGGTAAAGGGAAATGATCACGGGAAGAGAGAGCCGTGTGCCGGTAACAGTAGCGGTCCCGAGGTGCTCTCGGGAAGGAAATCCGCTACGGACGCGTTATTCGGTGAATATCCGTTCCTTCGTACGTGAGATGATCCTCTAATTTGGAATTGAATGTTCGATATTCGTGTCGCTTCTCCCAGGCACACGGGCTGCGAATCACACGTGACTAGATCATCGCACGTACTTCACTCCCTCCTTTTTGTTTTGGATAACTCAGTTATCCGTAACGATTCGGCCGATGTCGCGCGGATTGCACTCGCGAACGACGATTTTCCGCACATCCGCAAGTATGAATTAAATGTACACGAGGTATATAAGGTGTATACTGGTAGATTTTCCGCGAAACGAACATGTATCGGGGTATTGGTATATATAGAGTATAATCTATTTATATACGTACACATACGTTTCTCCACGCGCGCGCGCGCGCGTACACACACACGTGCAAAATCGTTGTTCGCGAATACGCCCCGCTCATCATCGGATACGAAACAAGTAATTTATTGGCATTAACGAATGTTTTAATCGTCAAAGTACGGAATTAATTAAATATTCTTTATAGACCATTTTTTATTTGGAACGCTTTTCTGTTTCTTCCTCGTATTTCCGCTCACCGATTCTACGCTCTGTACTGGCTTCTGTGTGTATGTGTGTGTGGCGATGGTAATCAATTTATTATACATATATATATACATACATATATATATCTCAATAAATTTAAGAAAAAGTAACTCTTCTTGCGTTACGCAACACTAAATTGTTTTATTTTTTCTCTTCGACCAACAGCGCACCGCTAACTGCAGATTATAATAATAAAAAAAAATTTATTGTGAGATCTCTTCTCTCTCTTATGAAACAATAAATTTGATTTGAAAACTAGACGCTTTGTTATTGCTTGCCCGCCGGGACAAAGTGGAAAATCTGTGGTAGAGCACACGCACAAACATTTCATGTATAAACGTTTTATTTATTTAATATAAGAAAATCAGGATTACAAATTCTACAGATTTACGAGATCATACATTTCAATCAACTTTTCACAGAAATGCAAAATTGCACAATTACTTAAATGATACTTATCTAAGTTACCCGCCTAATAGTTACCTAATGATACTCATCTTAATTATTTACATGATGAATTTGACGCCTGTGATTTAATTCAACACAATTCGTCCGAATTCTTTAATCATTCTCGTTGGTCTCATTCTTTTCTTGCTTTTCACAAATATATATGATGAAAGTCGGCGTTTCTTCACAGAGTGGTATATATATACAGAGAAAAATGTGTAGCGTATTACAGAACGAAACAGAGTCAAACATCATATCAGAGTTGAGTCGGTCTTTTCATTTTTAATTGAAAGCTACACATATGGGATACCGTAAGTATGCAGATGAATACATAATCAAAAGTGAAATGTTTAATTTACCTTTGCCTGCTATTTATACTTTGTTCGTACATGAACCTAAGGTTAATGTAATCGCTATAATAATTACTATGACTATAATAATTAACTATAGTTATTACGCTACTACAATGATAATTAAATTTTTATACTACAGACGCAGCACTATATGTTAATTTAACACCACTACAGGTACCATCACAGGATCATATATCATACTTTTAAAGAACTAGAAGCAAAAGAATTAGACTGGATAGTTGTATAGTTTTATACGTAACTAATATAACAGCAATTAAAGTAAATAATTAGATTATTCAAGGCACAAGTATATTTTATATTCGTTGATTTGTATCGCGTACGAAATTCTTTTTAAAGGAACACACCAGCCTTGCTAACTCACCGATATTTTATATATATATATATATCACTTCAAAATACTATCAAAATTTTTTTTTAATTTTGATGAACATTTTTTGTCATTTTTGATTTTTAATATTATGCAAAAGACAATACAAAAAATTTATATATTTCCATTACGCTCGTTTCTTTTTTTAAATAATAATTAGAGAAGAACATGTATGTACCATTTCCTTCTTTTTAATAGATAATGCTACTATTATTCTACCGTATTATTTTAACATTAGACGCATAACATTAATCGATGTTCATTAACTAGAACATAAATAGTAATTAAAAACGCTCTCAATGTTCTCCTCCGAATGACAGAAAACATCCTTTTTTTCCAAAGAT